CTGTGCCTGTCATAAAACCTACCCCCAGTGGGAAGGCCAACTCTCATTACCTTGTGCTACAGATGGGGAAACTGAGTTTCAGGGAGGTGCAGTGTTTGGTCCAGACCGTCAGACCAGCCACCCTTCCCGGCCTCTAGAAGCTGTGCCTCCTCAGACCTGCCAGCCAGCGCCAGCTTGGGGCATCTCCCCCTAGGCCACACTGGCTCACTGTCCCCTCCCACCCACAGGGAAGGCCCAGGCTGGTGGGTCCTGGGCCTCGCTGGGAGGGCTGCCTGGCTGTTTGCTTCACCTGTTTTCCCATCTGCAAGTCCAGCTACTTGGGTCAATGCGAGGCCTGAAGGAGACAATCCAGCAGGGAATTCGCATGACAGAAAGAACATAAATAAGGAAAATAATTAAATCGCATCAACTATCAAAGAAATGCAAACTGTAACAGGAACCCTGTCTTCATCCTTCCTGTTGGCACAGATTAAAAAGGCTGATTATGGAGTGTCAGCCAGGAATACGGGCACACAGCCAGCCACCAGCAGGGTGGGCAGTCAAAGAAACACAGACAAGAGCCCCGAAGAAGCCTGGTCCCTTCGATCTCACAAGGTCCTTCCAAAAATTTATTCTAAGGCAGTGGTGAGAAGGCTGGCAGAAACTCAAGTGTGGTCTGAACCAGGAAAATCTGAAAATCCCAAGGGTCCACCAGCAGGGAGGGGCAGAGTAAATTAGGGCCCATGTCACCAACTCAGAGTGTCACCAGCTCAGGGCAGGACAACATCAAAGATTTCTGTTCATTCACTGCAAAGGATGGACATGTGCAGGCTTCATGACAGTGACCACAACTGACCTGCACTTCTACAGCAAAGTGCACATGGTGGGGGGGAGGCTCAGCCCAAATCCAGAAATGGACAGTGGTCCCCCCCCCCCGTAATGGCATCTGCTGGTGTCATTTTTTTTTCCACTGCAGCAAAATGGACATCACACACATTTCATCATTTTAACTAATTGTAAGTACACAGCCCAGTGGCATGAAGTACTCTCACACAGCGTGCAGCCGTCACCCCATCCATCTCCAGGACTTTCTACATGGCTGCTGTTAAGGTGTCTGCACTGTGTTCACTCCGACGCTGGGCAGCGCCGAGTGGGACAGACGGACAGCGGCGATGGGCAGCTGCTCTGGGACTTTGCCAGGAACTGCTAGCACCACACAGCCTGAGGTGGATGCTGAGAGGCACTTCCCAGAAGTGTCCTCAAGGGGACATGTCACCGTCTGCAGGTGGCGCACAGGGGAGCACCACATTTTTCTTCCCCTAATGTCCTGTATTTTAAAGGTTTTCTGCAAAAGTGGTAGGAAAGTATATACAAGAAGTCCCCAAGTTATGAACAAGACAGGTTCTATAGGTTTATTCATAAGATGAATTTGTATCTAAGTTGAAACAGGTACCCTTACCTATAATAGCCCCCATTCGTAAGTGCAAGTCACACCTATGTTGGATGCATGTGACTCAGGGACGGCCTATACTCTCATTTTAAGTATTCCCTCAAGGAGAAAAGTGTGTCCTGAGCTCTACAGTGGCTCCTACAGGCACAGCTGGGGAACCCAGGGTAAACAGCCCCTTAGCAGACCAGAGGCAGCAGCAGACACACCACCCGGCTTCAGCCTGGCAGCCTAGGGTCTATCGTGTTATATTCTGACAATAATCCCACAGGTAGGTACAGTCATTGCACCACCTGTCCAAGGTCAGACAGCAGGAGACCAGGATGGGCCTGGGTTAGCCACTCTCTGGAGCTGGATGAAATGCTGGGCCAGTGGCTGCTGAGGGCTCCTGAGCCACAAGAGGGGCTGAGGAGTTTGCTGCAGCCTCTCCAGCAGGAAGCTCAAAGTGGCCAGAGCAGTCTCCTAAGGCTCTGCCCTGCATCCAAACACCCCACCTGGGCAGAACTCTCCTGGCAAACACAGGGCTGCCCTGTCCTCTTCCCTAAAGGAGCTGGGGCTCCAAAGCTTGTAGCAGTTGTCACTGTGCTGGACCCAGGACAGCACACACAGCTTCAGCTGTGGCCCCACACCCTCCAGCCCCTAACTCCATGCCCTGGGCTCCCCACCATCCCAGGACACCTCAGCAGGAGGGCAAAGCCAAGATCACCTGAAGCCAGTGGCCCAGGATGGATAGAGGGCTCAGCCCAATATTCTGAAAGCACAGCTGAGTGCTGCCAGGTGGGTGACTGCCACCAGCTTTGCAGAGTGCAGCCCTGAGGAACAGCCCAAGGTCCATCACTGTCCTGCCTGAGTTTCTCAGGAGCCTTCCACAAAACCCTGGACCAGAAGCCCACCTAGAACTCAGCCCCAGGATACCCCAACTGCTCTGGATCAGACAGACACAACTAGGGTCCTGGCTCCCTTTTTCTCTGCTGTGACCTCAGATAATACACTTGACCTCCCTAAGCTCCTGCTGCAAGTGGCTAAATGGCAGTTCAAGGCCAGGGCCCAGGCTGCTGTCCCAGCTGTCCCCAGGAAAGGCCACTCTCTGACCCTTGCTCTCAGCTCTCTCTCAAGAGACCCAGGCAGCTCTGTGGGCCACAGCTCACCAGTCCTCAGCCAGAACCCACAGCCAGGCTTGTGCTCTGCCCAGAGAGAGAGCTGGATGGGCTCGCTCAGAGTGGTCCTGCTAGTGCTGGGCACACATGGAAAGCTGCAGATGGCACCCAGACAGTGGGAGGCACCGGCCAAGCACCTGTCAGAGCAGGAAGCTTGTGATAAGTGGTATTTGAGCTGGAGCACAGGAGTGACAGGTCCTTGGGGCTGGGGCAATTCCAGCTTGTACAACACTCCCAAGGGTTTAGAAGGGTGAGGCAGTCACTAGGGCAAGGAGACAGAAGGGCTGAGGGGAGGCAGGGCCAGGGAAGCCTGCCCACCCTTGGACTCTAGGGCTGAGAGATCTAGTTTGGAGGCCTGGAGGAGGAGGGGGTCTGTCCCCTGATAATGTCCCAGGAGAAACCAGGGCGGAGTTTCCTGTGGGACCAAGGCCCCCAGTGCCAGGATGACACAGAGCTCCCTGGTGGCATTATGTCCCATGCATGTCAGGGGACCTGGGACCACACAGGGGGTGGCAATTCTGGTTATGAGGCTAAACCCTTCAAGGTTCCATCCTTGACCAAAAGACAAGTCCCCTGGCCTCTGGGG